GCAGCAAAGGTAAAGGCTAGAGCTAAGCTTTGGCTTCAGGATGTGAAGGAAATATGTGATGCTGGGTGCAAGGTGTCTGCAATTGTGCTTGGTTTTGCCTCCTGGGATGGGGCAGACACGTCACTAAAGGGGGAAAGAAGACAACTGAAAACTATAGAACTTGTAACATCCTGAGGCCTAATGGTCATCGCTGTATAGAGTGATCCGTTTCTCTGCTGTTCATGTCACACCAGTGATATTTGTGGAGACTAGGCAGAACAGCGTGGTTTGGGGATTCTAAATCAGACATTGATTGTTTTGCAGTGCTCATATTTGTATGTGTTTTGTCCAAGTAGCGTTACAGCAGGTGGCAAGAATTATTTGGAGTCAACATATGACAGAAACCTTTTGGCTTATGAGTCTACACAAGAATATATGTGATTGTGAAATAACCATGTGTGAGGTGCTGGGCCTCGCAGAAGAAAAGTCTTATGTTGAAAAGCTGGTTGGCAAGACTGCAAATGAAGGACTGATATTTGTGGACCTCCTTATGGGCTCTGGCTCACATCACGTCTGCAATTTTCTTGTGATGAACTGGTAACATTCTAGTTAAGTGCAGAAATGGTTTCACACTCAATGGTACAGTTAACGTTAAAATGAATAAAACATTCTTTTATAGCATGGCGGCAAGAGGTACCTGTAGTATCACTCCATGAGGTGGAGGGGTAAACTGGGGTAAACTGCAGTCAGGGGTAAACTGGGGTAGGATGGTTTGCCCCTGATGACACCTGGAATCTGTACAGAGAGTGCAAGCTTTCTGTAGGAGCGGTTGGTGAGACCAGGATGTGGTCTGGTGTTGCATTAAACTCCAGATATACATTGCCTGTGATGGCTCCTAATAGGTCCATAAATTTGTGACTGGCAGTCAACCACTTCGTACTATAAAAGATGAATCCAAATTACAAAATTTCTGAAATGCGAAGTGCTGTCGTACTAGGCTTTATACTTTGCAGAAATTCCTGAGATTCATCGCGTTGTCCAGGCCCATACGATTGGACACACCTGTTCATCTGTCCAAACTTGGAAACTAGGTCTGGCAACTGGGAAAAGATTATCTCAAGTACTGTTGACTCCAAATAAATGACCACTGTAAACCACTTGGATCTCCTCACTGAGGATGGACATGATTATATTATTGTCTGTACTTTTGCTGTTACTCAGTTGTTATGTTGTTTTACAGTTTTGGAGATGACACTTCATCAATACGCTGTTCGAGTTGTTCACCAGTGTCATGGTCCAACCTCAGACCACGCGGTGGGATGTATCAGGGGTTAATTACGCTGATATTTTTGGTCTGTGTTTGGCCCAGCCACCTGCGAAAGTTTTGTTCTTTCCCTGCCAAGTTATGAGAAAACAAGCACTGATAAAACGGGAACTTTGTCCCTGAAGGGAGTTTTGGTATAAACTGAATTTAATTGGTGTTCTGTGATTGGCTAATCGTCCTCCAAGGTCGCTTGAAGGAGAAAGTGAAGACTATAATATGAAGGACACCCCCAGACTCATTTGGAAAAGACCTCCCCCGAAGTCAGTACGTAGGCGCAGGGAAAGCCACGCATGCGCAGAAGAGATGCACTTACATAACCAAGGGGGTGGGACTGAGGGCCTCTGGCTGGGTGGTGATGACTACTCCTGCCCAGGTTGAGGTCACTCAGTTAATTGTATAAAAGGAGACAGTACCTTCTTGGGGGGGAGCTAACTTCACACCAAGGACAACGTTGCCTTTGGTGGGGACGCCTGCCAGTTTGTGAACTTACTGACTCTCCAAGGATGCAGCTTCTGCTATGGGTAATTATAGGCATGCTAGGTCGGTAAGATAACTTTATGGGCAACAGCTGGGTAACTGGGGAGGTTGTGCTGGGGGCTTATTTTTCTCCTCCTTCCTCCCTTTTGGGTTTGTTCGTTTTGTTGGACACCGCTTGGTAATAAATATCAGTTTTGTTGAGCTTGCAACAGTCATGGTTTCAAGATTTCAGTATGTTCAAACCCTTCCCTAATACAGCCCCACTCCCCTTTTTCTGGGGCAGGTCGTAACAACATGACACAAAATTCTTTGGATTTTCCAAATGGCTCATATTTCAAAATCAGACACACATATACCCCCATACACATCCAAAGAATATTTAAGGCATATGACACCTTTCAACCATTCAAAAGTAGGATAATCTTGTTTCCGAAAAAAAAATAAAAGCCTGGAAATGGAAATCCAGACAGAAAGTTCTCTCTTCTCTTCCCTTTTCCCCTCTCGTGCTGAAGAAGTTCTGCCTTGAAGAGAGGTGTTTATACCTCTGGAAATCTTAGAAATTGTCAGTCCTGTGAAGCCATTCAGCTCACAACAGATGTTGTCTGAGAGAAGACAGAACTTTGGCATCTATTTTACTGACTTCCAAGTCCCCCTTTCTATGAACAGATGAATCTAAGAACCACGTACAGGATAACGGGACCAGCCTCGGATGGCAGACCAGAAAAAAGGAAGTTCTGTTCCCATTCATGCCACAGTTTTGATCCTGCATTCAGAGGAGCTACTGCTGTCTTGGAACTCTTTCCTTTTCCCCCCCAGAAAAGAATCAGCTGGCCTTTCAGTTACCAACAGTGGTGTCTCCTTTCTTGTTACAACACTCTACATCATCTCTCTTTCAGCGAGCCATGGCCATGCCAACTCTGGCTCTGTTTGGTGGCTCTGATTTGAACTCTGGTCTGGTGTGACTCCCTTCTGCTTTCCAGCCTGTGACATGGATCCCAGTGTTGTTCCATTGGGCACTTGAAGAAGAGATGGCTCTGTGAAGTTCTGTCCTTCTGCTGTGCTAAAAAATGGCATTTGGGAGTGCAGCTGATTTGAGAATTGAGCTCCCTGCATGTAGAAATCACTCCAGGGGACAGCCTGATAGGCAGTGATGTCTGCTGAGGGAAAAGCAACAAAGGAAAGACAGAATAACGAAAATAACCGCAGTATGTCTATGCTCAGTGCAAACAGCATTGCAGCCATGCTCTGGTGGTCACTGCACTAGAGCAGACACCACATATAGATAAAGGATCACTTTGCTGTTTACACTGCAGTGTTTTTATCCAAAAGGTAGTTCTTAGGAGGAAAAATCTTGGAAGTTCATAGCATTGTTATAATGTAAAAAAAAATCATGATGTCACTCAGCACTGATTCTGAGAGTATGTAACGATATTAGAGACACCCACTCCCCACTTTTTTTTCTCCACTCCTATTTTCCAAGAGGTTCCAACTCTGTCAAGCATAACCTGAATGTTTAATCTTCACTTTCATTTATAGAAGTTGGAAGCAGGAATGTATTGTTAAGTAGTAGCTATAATCCAACTAAGCTGTTCACTTGCTTACTCGGTGAAGTAAGACTCACAGGTGTGTCTGCACTGACAGACTGGTTTCCTGCCCACTGCACTTTGGGAACCTGGAACCTTTTTAGGAAGAAATTCTTCCCTGTGAGAGTAGTGAGGAAGGTTGCCCAGAGAAGCTGTAGCTGCCCCATCCCTGGAAGTGTCCAAGGCCAGGTTGGATGGGGCTCTGAACAACCTGGGATAGTGGAAGGTGTTCCTGCCCATGGCAGGGGGTTGGAACTGGATGATCCTTAAGGTCCCTTCCTACCCAAACCATTCCATGATTCTGTGAACTTGGTCATAACAGTTGTAGGATCCCTTCCTTGAACAGAACAGCCATGCCCTGCTGATTGTGCTCTGGACAGAGTAAGAGAATATCAACTCTGCCTCTGTTCCTTCAACAATCTTTCAACTTTATCAGCCTGCACCTTTACACACCCCTTATGCTCACACAATGGGCCCCAAAGAATGCAACACACACTTTGGCATCACGCTATAAAAATGTTAATTTGGTGCACTGGGGCACAGCCTTCTCATTATTTCTGGCACTTCAGACTGAAAAACCACTGAAAAGAATAATTATGCCTTGAAACCAGAGAGGGGAGACCGGTCAAGTGTGGTAGATAGCACAGGTGCTGCCAACGTGGCCTGGACAATGCCAGCAGGAATAATGGGAACAAGAGCCAGTTTGCAGCCTGCTGTGAGTCAGACTCTGTGAGTCAGACTTCCCTCCCTAACGAGGTCCACCAGACTGGTACAAAACCAGCAGCAGCATCTGTGGTCTGAAACTATTCTCTTACGTGATAAGACAAGACGTAGTTTTTGGACTGTGAGCCTAATTCAACAAACCTGACAGTCCAAATAAACTAACTGCAATGGTTTATCATTTGATTATACTTGGGTTTGAATAACTTCAAAATACAAGGCCTGGACACAAAACAAGGAGACCAACAGTGCCAGTTTCACCTAGTTACTTTTCAGAAAATTATGCAGAAGTGCCTTAATCTGTTGCAAATTCAAACCAGAGGAAGAAAAAGAAAGACTCTAGATGCATACTTTACTGGCTTCTGTCTCTCTCTTCTTTTGCACTACCCCAAGATATGAAACTTCAAACTGGTTTCTGCAGAAGCCCAACACAGTGAGAAGCCTGTTTTTCTTTCTACCTCCAACTATTCCACTTGCTGTGGCACCTTTTCCATTTTGCACCCTTGATTCCCACCCACATATACCAAAGGCACGTTCACTTGCACAACAGTACACTCCTGCAAAAGTTGGTTCTTCAGTCCAGAGAAAAACCACTGCACTACCTGACACATTCACATTTAATGCTCTTTCTGACATGTGCAACCTGTGTAGTAACTTTTGATTCAAATGAATGGGTCACTCAGCACTTTCAAAAAAAACCACAAGCATACAAGGAAATTAGAAAAAAAGATGGGCCCATATATATATATACACACACACACCCACATATATATCTCTCTATATATATCTGTGCAGGCATGTGCACGTTTCTACTTTCTGTCACAGCCACCAGTAAAACCACTGATCATCCTGAGTGTTTCAGGGTATGGTTTAGTTACTCCAGAGATGCAGGATGACAAAATATTTCAGAAATTTACCTGAGATTCCATTTTGCTGCGGCACAAGCTGTCCCCCCATGTGGTTTTGTCCATAGCCTTGTGTGGCTCCATAGGTTACTGCTCCAGTGTTACCAGGTAAGGCCAGGAAAGCTGAATGGGACTCAGGGGGTGTTGGAGGAGGGAGTTGGTCACTGGAGAGCAAATTGGTGGCCAGGTGATCTGGCAGTTGGCAGAATTGGGAGAGCTGGTGCTGCTGGGAATATTGGGACAGCTGGTAAATTCCCCCCTGGCTGCTGTACTGGCAGTACATGGTCTCCAGGTTCCCTGCAGTCTCCAGCTGCTCAGGGTAACGGCAGGAGGGTGGTGGACTAAAGCTGCAGAGAGCAAGGAGAGGCAATCCAGAGATTAAAGTAGGGTCAACAGCTACAGCAACCCATACAGTAAACAACTCTGTTATTGCCAACCCTGATCTGACTCCAACCCCTCCTCCCAGATGCCAGGACAAGGGCAACAGAAACCACTTGAGCCAAGTGGTTTCACAGCAGGATTCTTCACCAACGGGCATTAGCGGGGATTATCTTCCCACTCTCCAAAGCACACCCCAAAGTTTGAAACATCCTCTCTTTTGCTTGACAGGTATGCAATTCCGGAAGCATTCTGACCAGAGGTATCGCTTGTCTCACAGCAGGTGCCCTGTCCCACTATGCACATCATGCAGCTTTTCATGCTTCATTTAAAAGATACTGTCACTCCTGCACCTCACTTTTCACTTACGCTCCCACCTAATTCCTTGTCCCATGTCCCACATTCACCCTCGCAAGGCTTCTCCCAGGCTTTGCTTTTTTCATTTCCCTTCTCATCTGTTCCTACCCTTGATTCTGGATGTTGTAAGTGAAGGCCTCCCTGGAGCCATTTTCCTGACTGGACAACCAGTATTCACTGTTGGGAGTGTCCAGCGCCACAGAAACAGCAGGGCTGTGGGGGTTGAAGGACAGGTTGGTGGCCCTGTGGGCGAGAGGAGTGCCGGGAAGGCTCGGGAAGCACTCCACTCTGCTGGAGTTGAAGCTGTCCACTCTGCTGGAGTTTAAGCCGAGCTGTAGCGACATCTTCACCTGAACTTCTTCACAAGATGCCACCGAGGAGGCTGTGAATGAAAAGAGAGAGACTGTCACACTGGGCTGCCATAGCAGGAATGAACAGGAGCAAGCAGAGGGAAGGAGGAGCAGAACAGAAAAGCAAGAAGCCAGACATTAACCGGTGGGAATAAAAGTGAGCAAGTACCGGCATTGCTGTAGAGAAGCACAGGGAAGTACCAGCAAGCTCTCTGGAGCACAAGATGGTGTTTATTGGCTAAATAAAACTACCTTCGTGATTTCAGCCTCTGCATATTATATTTAAGAAGGCAGCCAAGTGAAGCAAAGTACTTCCTGGAAAAAAGCCAGGAATTATCCCCCAGTCATCTTCCATCACTACTGTCCTCTGGGAGGAGTGTGCTGCACTCAACTCAAAAGTTACCCCTTTGAAAAAATTAACTGTGGCTTGAAAGAAACAAAAACGTGCAGGTACACATCCACA